GCATACAGCAATCTTGGGCTCATTGTTGCACCAAAAAAATGTCTGCAACTGTGGCGCAGTCTCATGCGCCTTTTTTCACCTGCTGGTTGCGAAGAGAAATATCAGTATTTTGAAATTATTTCTGACCACAGTATCAGTATGTATCAGTATCAAGTGTTTCAGGTTTAGATAAGACTACCTCAGTCAGTTCCTTGACAGAATATCTAAAATAAGAGCATATACCATAAAATTCTTACTCATTGACGGCGCGAGATGAAGGGTATTGATAAAAATTAATTTCGACATATAGCACAGGGCTCCTCTTAAACATTATAATTACCTTACAAAAATACGACATCGTATTTACGGTTGAATACAGCACCAAAATCCTCTCAAGGAAACTTTGCCTCGTAAAGTTTGACGCACCGACGAAATCTAACTATGCGCACTGTGGAGCTAAAGAAAGATAAGGTAAGTAAGTAAGTAAGTAAAGCCTTTATTTAAAGAGGGTGGCACTTAATAGCCAAAGGCTAATTAACTTGTGGCCCTCACAACTATTTACAATCTAAAATACTGTAAGCTAAAATATATATATATACAGTTAAAATATAAAATATGACAAGATTCGATTATAAGATAAAAATAAATTATTAAATTATGAAATGATGCAAAAATTGTTGTTCCTTAAAAATCTTGGCAAACATGTTCTTTTTAAAACATGCTACAGAATTTAGTTTCCTAATTTCAATTGGTGTACTGTTCCACAGTCTTGTTGCCGAAACAGCGAAAGAGCGTCCTCCTTCTGTTTCTCTTTTATATTTAGGACAAACAGCATTAGTGCTTTAATATCTAGTGTTGCGGGAGTGCCGCTTATTATTTAAAATTAAGTGTTCATTTAGATAATTCGGCAAAGTCCCATTAATTCGCTTATACATCATTGTGCATTTATCAATCTTATGTTGCTCATAAAACGGGATCCAACCTAGCTTGTTAAACAAAGCAACTGATGGTGTCATGCGATCGGCATAACAAATAACGCGTGCCGCACGTTTTTGCAATCTTAAGACCCTATGAACTGACTCTTTATCGCAATTTGCCCAAACAACGTTAGCGTAAGACATAACAGGGCACGGTTAACGGTTACCCATAAAGTGACTTTATCCCTATTGAAACCTTCTTATTAAAGCAGCTACGCGAATTTGAGATGAGTTTGCTATAAAATATGTTTAAGAATCTCTCTTACCTCCGAAGACGAACACCACAACTTCCCGTTCCTCCACAACAGGTGTTCGCAATGACCTGAAATCGAATTAAGTTTTGACGAGCCAATAGCATTCAGTGACGCTTTGCAGGTATGATTACGTTTAATACCACTCTGTCAATAATTTGAAGAAAACGACAAAACCTGTAAGTTTGTAAAACATGTTTCGACAGAACTTCTGTCATCTTCAGTTAATTAACGTAAAAAGCGTTGGAAGTTGAATTTATAAATGAATTTACTAAGGCCGAAACCCACAAAATTTCATTAAAAAAACCAACCCTATATGGAAAATTACACATTCCAGAGCCAGAATTTACGAAAAAAAAATTTTATGTGGCATCGGATTAACCAAAATGTAGATGATTTTCTAGAATATCTGCAAAATTTGAGGGCCATCATGTAGGAGAAAACATGAAATTCGTCTTGTTAAACAAACAGACACCATACGCAATTGCTACTGAGCTATCGTCAAGATGCAAATATTGGAATCATTATTAAGGGCTGATACTCAATGACAACGTGTCCAGCATTAATAATTAGTTATAATTTTTAAATATCAAATCCAAACTGAAATACATATAGCGGACTGTGGCTGTCGCAACAGCTATTTTGAATGGAAATTTTCATATATTAACGGAGACTGAAGAACTCCAGCGATTATTAGGCACATGACAGGTGCTCCTTTATATTGGGAAGCTTTATCTACATGTGAACTTGTACTTTTATCCTCTGTGTCAAACATAATGCTTAACAAGTGTTCAAATCACATGAAAACATTGGGGGGGGGGGGGG